AGCAGTTCAGCTGAGAGCCATTGGGATGAGGACATAGAAGCTTCCAGTCTGAGGAAATAGGACCAGCTGAGGAACTGGCAAGGTGAGATAGCTGTGACTTGTTCTGTCTCTCTGATCTACCAGCATGGACCCCAATAACTCGCCTCGGGTTTGATTTTATTAATAAGAACTTTTAAGATTCCTGCTACAAGCCACCATGGCAGAGAGGTGGGAGCAAGGTCACAGTTGTGACCCTCTGACCACAAGAACTGAGCCAAACTGAACAGAGGAGACCCTGTCACTTCATGCCACCTAAAACAGGGTCCAGGGCGTCACCGTGAGAAAGCCTGCCCACTTCAGGTTGAAGACCCTGCGCACAGAGGAGGTGAGTAAACTTCTCAAAGTCTAAACAGAAAGTTTTGGCAAGACAGGGACTAGATCTCAGATCTGAGGAGCCCAGAGTGACAAACAAACGTACTGCTTCCACACGGGAGACATCCCAGTGGGACAGGAATGAGTTTAAGGTCTCCTTCGTGAGAGAGGTTCTCAGTATGTTAACTGGTGGGGAGTGGTATGGCCGGGGGCATGGCTTGGCTTTAGTTGGCTATCGGTGTGTGCAGTGCCATCAGGCTGTGTGAGCCCTGGGGACCTCATGGATCATGGGTCAGAAGAGTGCTGCAGTTGAAGGAATCTAAGGTACACACACACACCGATACACATGTTCACATGTGTGAACATATCACACCATGAATGCATATGTGCACACTTGGACCTATGCACAAACACATACATGCATGAATATGCATATATGATGTGTGTGCATGCACACAAGAGTGTGCTCCCTCACACAGACACATGTGCATAAAGACTTTTTCATTTTGGAGGGGTTTTTATTTATTTGTTTGTATTTTGGAGACAGAATCTCACCGAGCCCAGACAGACCTTCAACTCACTACATAGCCAAGGCTGACCCTGAACTCCTGATCCTCCTGCCTCCACTTCCTTCCAGGGCTAGAAGCTACCACACCTGGCTAGAGTTTTCATTTTTTGACCCAGAAGTGGACATCCCTACTTATCCATCCGAAATACTCAGTAGAACACTGGTACGGCCTGTGGACGGTGATCCACGTCTACCGCCATCTGACCGTGTTGCACACACTTCGGTGACACACAGATAACAAACGGAGCCTTAACACACAGGATGAACACCTCACTTGTCTGTGGCATTGCACCCCTTTGAGTGAGAATGCCCACATTCTTCGCTCTTAACCTATCCCATGGTACTTGTGGACCAAACTTCTTCATCATCTGCTTATCAGATACCATGGCCTCTGCTTATCAGATACCATGGCCATGTCCATTTCAGGCCAGGAGAACCTTGCTACCACCGTGCCTTGGTGTCCACAGCAGCACGTCTATATCAGATAGACTCATGGCAAAGTCAGAAGGTGCCTCTTGTCTTGGTTGTAAACCTGAAGCAAGGGTTTTGCTTAGGGGATGGATGTCTGTTCGGGTCCTCTCCCAGGGGCTGAGACACAGTGTCCCAGGACAAAGGGAGGAGTCTGACGGCTGGCGAAGACAGATGTCCAGGGTCCCACTGCCCGGGGCACCTCTGAGGAGCAGGCACTGCATTTACTGGCTCAGAACTGATAATGAGTTTTTATGAGCTCAGGGGAACACTCAGAACACGTATTAATGTCAAGCATGCCCGTCAGCCATGCAGCTTGAGTGAATGTCACACATTAACGAAATTAAAGGCTCCAGCCAGAGGCAGCTGCAGGCTCATGTCAGGAGGTTGAAAAGGCCCTGCTCTGACAAAATCACTTTCCACATCAGCTGCTCCCACCGGAGCATCTCTAGGGCAGACGGATCCCATCTTCCTGCACCCTAAAGGAGATGAACTGTCTCCACATAGCCAGGCAAGACCAACCTCCCGCCAAGTCTCATCCCACGGGAGGCCACTCTGCTGGGATTTTATTCCTATCCCTTCTGCCCCGGGGGAGGGTGGTTGTCACCCATGTTCCAGCATGAGGACCCCTGGGACGCAAGAAAAAGGGTCCCAGGAAACAGGTGTGAAAGGATGGTAGCCAGATGTGGGTAGTGGCCCCTGACCTGTTGAAAGGAAAGGCCAGGAGCCAAGCAGGAGGGTCTCCATTCCCACTCAGCTTCCACTCCTGTAGACCAGATTGATCTCGGGCAAAGCTCCCCCTGAGGACTGAGGTTGGCCATAGCTGAAACCAAAATCCTAGCTCAGGAAGTGGCCTTGAGCACAAGGGATCCACTTACACAGAGCCCCAAAGCCTCACCTGGGAGAAAGAGCCAAGTCTGGTAGCTTGGAAGCCGATGGAGGACTCCCCGAAAAAGACAAACACGGAGGCAGCGAAGAGCCTGACGCCAGGCTCCAAGATCACAATCACTGTGATTTTAAGTACATCTAATAGCACCAATTAATTTAATTAATCATGACCTCACTTTTTATACGATGCAGTCTGGTTTCTGAGATGCTAAAAATCTATTTTGAAAAAAGCAGTACTTTAAAATCTAAAGTGAAAACTTGGGTTGGAGGACTTGTGGGCATCTCTCTCTCTCCAGTCCCTTACCTTTTGATTTAAATACAGCAGGTTGGGGCTGGAGAGATGGCTCAGCAATTAATAGCATTGGCTTCTCTTGCAGAGGACCCAGGTTTGATTCCCAGCACCCACCTGGCAGCTCATAGCTATCTATAACACTGGTTCCAGAGGATCTGGTGGCCTCTTCTGGGCTCCTTGGAGACCAGGCACATGTTTGAAGCATACACATCCATGCAGACAAAACAGTCATACACATACACATATTAGAGAAATAAATAAATACAGCAAGCTGACACAAGGTGTACCCCTTTGATAATGCCCCCCCCCCCCGCCCTGCTTTTGGAATGTTGCCTCCTGAGTCCTCACAACACATCACCCTTATGAAACCAACAAGCCATCCACTGTTCTGTGGTTTCCCAGGTAGCCTTCCTCCTCCAGATCCTTCTTCTAAATCCTCCATCCCCATAGCTTCTACCCATGTCCGCCCAGGCTTAAGTTCATGATCGCCTGCCCATTGACTGCAGAGGGGATCCAAAGCTTCGCCGGCAGTGTCCAGCCTCCGCTCCCTCCAGCCTGCCATCTCTGCTGTTCCCTCCAGCCTGCCGTCTCTGCTGTTCCCTCCAGGCTGCCATCTCTGCTGTTCCCTCCAGCCTGCCGTCTCTGCTGTTCCCTCCAGCCTGCCATCTCTGCCGGTCCCTCCAGCCTGCCGTCTCTGCTGTCACAGCAAGCTCCTACGTGTACAGTGAGCACTGTGTCTGTCTTCTGTGGGTTCTGTGGCCTCCTTCTGCAGGTATACAGATCTTTTATCATCTGATCCTCTACTGGCCCCCAGGCCCATCTTCAGGTCCTCTCGGTAAGAACATACACCTGTCAAAGTGAACTCACCTGAACCATCCTGCTAGCATGCTGGTCTCTCTACCTTACTCATATTCTCTCCTCCTGGAATTCTTTGTCCTTTCCCAACTCTGAGCTTTTCTCCTCCCAAAGCTTGCCAAACACCTAACCACCTTCAAAACCTCCCTTCAACCATCTTTTCTGATGACTCTTCCCAGAATCACCACAGATATAATAAAACACAGTTCTCTTATGGTCCCTTAATAATATGAGTCTGGGTGTGGGGGTAACATAATATACATGTTTGGTTTTTGTGATTTCTTTCCCATCTACCAGACTATCGCCTCTGCCAAAATAGGGACAGTATCTTCCCCCATTCATTGCCCTTTCCCTTGTGAACTCAGGCCCAGGCTCAGTAAATAATAGCTGGATAGATGGGTGGATAGCTGCTAAGAGAGATAGGTGGTAGGCAGGTAGAGAATGAGTTATGAAAACTTGTATGGCTGAAAGAGTAGTTAAGTTGGAGTTGGTTGTAGGAATGGAGGGACAGAGGGTAGATGGATGTGTGTGGGTGGATAGGTAGATGGTTGTGGGGGATAAATGAATGAATGATGGGTGGGTGTGTGGATGGATGAATAGATAGTGGGTGAGTGTGTGGATGGGTGTAGGCAT